GTGTGTGTGTGTGTGTGTGTGTGTGTGTGTGTGTTTCTTGAGTGTCTGGAATAGGCCTGTCATTATAGTAAGTATTTTCCCATAATATCTCTTTTCACTCTTAAAACAACTTGAAGTAATAGTCGATACTATTTTCTCCATTTTAAAGGTGAAAAAACGGAATATGCCTCCCCAAGGCTATATGGCTTATAAATGACAGAGTCGATATGTAATTGTATGTTCTGCTAAATACAAAATTAAATAAATGATTAGGAAAAATGAACTGCTTTGGGTTTTTATATTTTTATTCTCATGTTTTTACATCTTGATGCAAGAATTTCCCCGCCATGCTTCCATACTGTAAAATACATTTACATTATTTTTTCCTATAGTGCACATGCCCTCAGCATAGCATCATTTATTCTAAAGGTGTCTCAGAGTGGCTGGCCAGACTCTAATATAATTTTTCAGATCCTCCATATTGGATGTACAGCTCATAAGAAAGAAAAGAGCTATTTTATCCATCCATCTATTTATCCATCTCACCTGCATGTGCCAAGCATCATACTTTAAAGCAGTGGTGAAAATTTTGGTACAAAGTCCTATTCAGGAAAAATAAAAATGTCTACAGATCACATCTTTTTTTGTTGTTCAAAATGAAAACAACTTGATTGCTTTCTAGGTAAAAAGTATTTATATATGGAAGTATAGTGTTTGGAGACATTTATTTGTGTGTGTGTTTATAGTTTATTTCCTTAATGTTATTTTTTCCTCCCTCTTTATTCTTATCCTTCACTCCCCATCCCAAGATGACAGCCAGATTCGTTGAACTCCTTTGTTTCAGCAGAGATTTGTGTTGTCTAAAGTTCCTGGCTTTCGTTTTCTGGAAGCCTGAGCTTCTGGGGGGCTGATGCTTGGAAAGGAGAAGAAGAAACTGAGAGAAAGATGGGAGGAATTTCCTAAGACAAGCTCCTTCAGAGTGTTCTTCAGGTGTAGCATGACTTCTAGAGGGATGCATGGAAAGGGCGGGTATGGCTGTGTGTCTGGGAGACTATACTAGGGCCACCTGAACTGCCAGCCATGACAAAGAGTACTCTGCTCCAGAAAGGACTTTTGGAGGCTCTGGGAAGGTGGCAGTCTTACCTTCCTGTTTCTTTGCTGTATCCCCAGTGCCTTGAAGAGAGCATGCTGTGTGGCAGGTGCTTATGAATGTTAATGAATGAGGAGATGAATGAGTTCACTGTGGGCTTGGACAGTGAGCAGCCTGGCAGCAGCCAGTGTGACTTGGAGCTCTGACTGGTCTCTCTAAATGTTCTTCTCTTTACAAAACTCCTAGGACCTTTGCACAGTCCCAGATATGTGAAGCAGGAGAGTGGGAATGTCAGAAATGGCTGAAATTAAATTGTCCATCAGACAGTGGAATGGGAACTTGGGGACATTTAATTTTATGTAATGATAAGAAAGTCACATGGCCATTCTTACTCTTGAGTCTGTCTAGTAAGATTTAAACCCTCTACACACAGTCTAAAGGATTGAGTGTCAACTCACATCTTATGTACAGTAGCATCAGTTAAAACCAAAAA